TTGTTGCCTTTGACCTCACCCACCACTAGAATGTGGCCCCCGAGAACTTAAGTTTGGCCCTCAGACTGAAAGAAGTTCAACATCCTTGCTCCATTACATGTAAAGTATTTAACATAATTCACAAGAGCCCACAAATTCTCTAGCTGGCATATAACAAAGATCCATATTTATCAGGATTTTCCAAAGAGAACTGCAGACTAGGACAAAACTTATCTTGAAGATTTTCATAGCAGTACTACCCTCACCCTTTCTTTTCACCCTTAAAAAAATCTTTTATCCAAAGGACCAGTGATGTGTTCAAGTCCTTTACTCTAAGTCTTCAGTCAAGTCTCAAGTCTTTACTTTCAAGTCCAAGTCAAGTCTCATAGAATTATAGAATAGTAGAGCTGGAAGGGGCCATGAAGACCATCTGGTCCAACCCCCTGCTGTTGGCAGGACACTGAGTTACACCATCCCACTCAGATGGCTGCCCAGTTTCTTTCTGAATGCCTCTAGTGTGAGAGCGCTCACCACCTCTCCGGGCAGCTGGTTCCACTGTCATATTGCTTGAGTCAAGTCTCAAGCCACTGCAAGAAATTTTCAAGTCAAGACTTAAGCCTCTTCTCAAGTCCCAAAACCCAACTTTAACAGAAAGAGAGAGGTGGTGGTGGGGTGTATGTGTGGGGATGGAAGAGTTGTGACCCCCCAAGATGTTCCCATCTGTACTTCCCTCAGTGATGCATTAAAGTCCTTTATTCCAACCAAAATTTATTTAAACCAATAAATGAAAACCCTATCCTGCCCCCACCCCCTTGAAATACCCTCCCTCCCATTACCTCCCTCATGCTCTGGTGCAAGTTGGTTGTAGAAAATGTCAAAATCTCATCAAGTCATTTGTTCATTCACTCTTTGCTCCTAAGTTGTGTCACTGACACTTGACTTGGATCAGACTTGGGAAAGTGTTACTTGAGTCCCCAGCACTACAAGCGACAAGAGCCAAACAATTCCCCTGCCTGTAGGATTCTTTTTCCACATCTTTCTCAGATAAATCATGGGAAGGGTCTTGTCTTTTAGCAACTGATCCCTCCCTCAAGAGCCCCAGCATTTACAGCCTTCTTCCTCAGTCATCAGAAAGTCCTGGCTCCCAAAGGATAAAATGAAAATTTAGGATTTAATCAGGCATGGTCATCCTCATATCTAAACAAAAGCACTGGAGAGGGAGAGGTTACAAGATCTAGCTTCAGAACTCAGTAGTTTTCAAGACTGAAAGTAGATGGATGCCTTGCATGTTCCCTTGTTGTTGCTTTTTTCACCACTGAATTCCAAATATCTTTGTAAGTAGGAGGCCCACCAAAAAATCTATACAAATGGAAGCAGGAATTTGCAGAATTCTAATATGAGCCCATGGATCACAAAAGCCTGCTTTGCAAGGCAGGCATAAAGGCTCCAGCATATGCCCTCCTGTACAGCTACACTGATCTGACTTTCCAAAGTTGGCACACACACAAGTGTACAAAACCATGTGCTAAAATTTAGGTTTAGGTTTGTATGAGATCATTTCAATTTTAGCCCAACAAAACCGGGATTTAACAATGGTCAAAACCAAATGAAAAGAAGCTATCTGAACAACATAATGTTTACACATTTCGACTTTTAATTTGCTGTAGTTCTGTGACAGGACAAGACCTAATTCTGTCAGCCATATGGAAAAACTGAATGGGGAGGGGAAGTAACAGAAGAATCCAACACAGTTTGGTTACTTAAGGTCTTAGCAACACCTAAATAATATCAAAACTTGAGGCTAGTAAATTAATTCAAATGGGAACAACAAACTGCACATTCAGCTCTATTCCCTAGAGCAGTGATGGTGAAACTTTTAGAGACCGAGTGCCCAAACTGCAACCCAAAACCCACTTATTTAGTGCGAAGTGCCAACATTGCAATAATACCTGAATACTGAGGTTTTAGTTTAGAAAAAACAACCCACAGCCAGTCCAAGCAATCTCTCTCTCTCTCTCTCCCCTAGGCAGCGCACTGACCAGCCATGCAAAAGCTTGGACGGGTCACAGCTAATGAGTCGCGGCTCATGACATCATCGCTTGGCTCCGCGACTCCTTTCTGAGCATGTGCATGGCCCCTATGTGTGCTGTTCTCCAATGCTCAGCTGCTGGGGCGATGCTGGGGCGACTTGGCTTGTGTGCCGACACAGAGGGCTCTGTGTGCCCGCTGCAGCACGCGTGCCATAGTCTTGCCACCACTGCCCGAGAGATGGCTTCCTGAACAAGTCCACCCTGAATAATCACTGCTTTCAAATGGGAGCGCTCTCTTTTGTTTATACCACCGTTATTATTTGGCATATTGAAATATCTTCAAATCCAAGGGAAAAAAATAGAATTGTCCCAAGGCAAAACAGAATGGAAATATAAACTAGCCCCATTATGCTCAACCACCAAGAGAATTCATTTCTTAACCAGAGCAGGTTCAGCAAATGATCATCATTCTGTTCCACCTAGTCTCTCTGCCTGGTAGCTGCATATGCTGCTAAAGGGAGCCAGCAGGCAGGTATAAATAGATATAGCCACCCCAAGTGAGGAATTTCCACCCAGGAAGGTAGACTCATGGATTCTTCTACTTCCAGGCTGCAGTTGGAAGACTCACCACAGGTGTCACTTACCTCTGGAGGAGTGACTGCCCTTCTGATGTTGCTCCTGCAGGGAGCAGCAAAGGCCAACTCCAATTCAGCCTATTGTGAGTGTGGGCTGGTTTTGAGAATTCTGCGGTTTTGTCTGCTTGTCCTACACTGCTAGGTTGTTACTGAGCAGTGAAAGACCATTTCTTTTTATATCTTATGTTAAGACAAGCCAGAAGCCAGAAGAAAGAGAGTGGATCTTGCCTGGGAGGCAGTGTATTTGTAAGCCTTTTTCTTTCCAATGAAAGGGCTAAACGTCTTACTGGGCATTTGATCTATTTTGCTTACGATATGTATATCTCGCTTCACGTTAGAAGTACCTCAGGTAGCACCATCCAATGTGCCTGCCTGTAACCTGCCAAACTTAGAGGATTGTGGCATCCAGCAGGAGGAGGGGAAGACTGCCTTGGTGCTCCCTTTACCCCACAAATACTTCACACAACTGATTTCAACCTTCTAAATGCGTTTCCCTCCTCACAAGGAGGAAAGGCTGAGGCATCACTGTGATACTTCAGGGGCTGGCAATGTCTTGCTCCTCCTCTCCCCACTGGAAGGTCCCCCCATCTTCAAAGCCGAGCCACCACAGAAAGAACCACACCAACTGAGAGGGTGAAGGGAGGGCCCTCTGAAGTCAGAGTCCCAGATCCAATTTAGGATTGTTTTTCTGGGGCCAGAGCTGAGATCCCAACCAATCCTACAGTCCCCTCATGTAATGTTAGGAAGACACAGGATTTACACCAAAATGCCTATGTAATACTCTATAAAATAATTATAACATCACAGCAATGTCATGGTCCATTACAGGCCAGGGAAACCTGTGTAAACAGGAAAGTTTTCCGAAGGTGTTGCAAACTTGCCACAGTTTCTGCCTTAAGGGGGAACATTCCAGAGATGTGACTACTAAGAAAGCCCTCTTCTGTGATATTGCATAATATTCTGTTGGTCACAGAACAACTAATAAGCTTTCCTCTGAGAATCTCAAGACTGACTGTATAATATGGGGAAAGCTGGTCTGCTACGTATTCTGGTCCTTGAATTTTGTATGCTAAAAACACATTTATGATCATGGCTCAGTCAGGAACAGGTGGCCAGTGCAGCTCATCTGGCACAGATGTAACATGCATATAGCTGGAAGCCTCAGTTAACATACTTCCTGCTGCATTCTGCACTAGCTGCAATTTCCAAACCAGGAACATGGATGGCTTCAAAAAGATTGTAGTCTTATCATGAAGTGATAGCTGGTACAACAGCCAAAGTTGGTAATTGGTGCTCTAGGTCACTGGTCACCTGGGCTTCCAGTGATGGACTAGGGTTAAGGTGATAGATTATGGACTTCTAGTTAGGTAAAAATCAGATTGCCTATGGTCGTATTTTGTATTTGCCCAACGATGCTTGTCTGACTTGCTTATACTGATCTTGAAGATTTAATGTATTGTTAGATATCTTTGTACCATGGCAGCTAATTGCTCTTTTAATACTGTGATCCTTACTGTTTTTATGTTGCTAGCTACTCTAGGTTTTGGAATGGAAAAAACAAAAGTTCAAGCTATAAATTATATCCATAATGACAGTGGAGCTAATGCAAGTGTTAAAAGATATCAAAAATGTTACATAGTTGCACAAATGCCTCTATGATAGATACCTGTGGACCATTAATGTACCAGTATTAAAATACTGATTACACACAAGTAAGGCACCACTCTTTTTTTTAAGGGAGCAAATACTTCATTTTTAGGCAACAGCCCACAAATGCTACAATAAATATTTGAAATTCTTAAGGCATCAGTAACAAATTTATAGCCCGTAGGCATAATAACAAATTTATAGCCCGTAGAGAAACAACAAATTGTGTTTTTCCAGGCTAATCCATAACTATGATCAGACAACAGAAGCGATCAGGCAGCACAGTGGAGCTCTCTCTGTTATACTCAGTATCTGAATATGGATACTGGATATGGATACTGACGGTATGATCTCTCCCCTCTACCCCCTACTACCCAATGCTATAATAAATGAAGATACATTGGTAAAAGAAAGTCTCTTAGCTACCTCTATGGTGTACTGTCCAGTCATAGGTATTACTACTAACCAAGAAACATTAATAACTGTGTTCAGCGTTCATATGCCCGATACTGTAAATTCAAATGAGGCTTCCAAATGGACAAAATAACATCAGTGTATAACTAGACCACCAAAGTAGGGTGCATGGTTCAAGAATCTAATAATATATAAGGTGATACAAATGCTCCTCCCTGCTTAGCAAGCTGGAAAACTAACTGCCAAATGCTAAACTTGTTTCCTCAGAAGCACAAATGAATTAAATGGAACTCACACAAGAATAAATCTGTTGAGGCCAAGAGGCCTACTGCATCTTGCAGTTAAGTGTACCAGTATGAGCGAGAACATAACACAGAGATGGAGGACCTGCCAAATCAGAAAAGTAGAATAGAAACATTTGAAGCAAATGTTTAGCAAATGCATAAGCATATGGAAGTGCTTCACATAAATTCTTGCAGTATACGCAGTCCCCCAGTTACAAATGTCCAAGTTAAGAACAATCCTTACTCATGAACGAGCAAACCTGGAAAACCTGTCTCATCCTCAAGTGGCAGACAGGCACCTAAGGGTGGCAGGTGGCAAGCAGTGGGCAGCAAGGAGGGGAAGGAAGGCGGAAGGAAGGGAAGAATAGGAAGGGCAGGTAGGAAGAAGGGAAATGGAAGGAGGAGGGAAAGAGTGGTGAGTGGTGCCAGTGAGCGGCAAAGTTGGAACTAGAAAGTGACTCCAGCGGTACCTCCCCACTCCAGCAGCACAATCAAACCCTGTCTCTCCAGCACCAGGTCCATCCTCTCCAGCACCAGTCCCTTTTCCATCATCATTCAGTTAATGTTAGGCTTAATGTCAGCTCAAGAAGTGTTAACTTTTAATAATCTTTAGTTTTTTTCTCTCTCTCTAAACTTTTGAGAACTGTGCTGTATACCTACACCCATACATATAGATTCTCTATCTCTTCAGTACCTGTAGTTACATTATTATTACAAAATTATCATCATTAAAATGCTGTATTGTGTTGAAGATGTTTTAGGGAAGTGTTTCTTAAGTGTTCTATATGCTTTTTATATACGTGATCCAGCTTCCATACAAATTCAAACTTAAAGGCGATCTCAGGAATGAACTCATTCTTAACCTGGGGACAAGGTGTAATTCCTGGAGCAGTTCTGTAGGGTACACCATAATTATTATTCCCATACTTCAGATGAAGGTCTAAGGCTAAGGGAATAGCAGCTTGACTAGCTACATGAATCCGAATTGAGGACTTTCTGATTCTTAGGTCATACTCTTTGGTACAATCTTATCCATGTTCGGACAGAAAAAAGTCCTAGCTAGAGAATGCAAGGAACTGTAGGATGATTTTTAGTCTAAACATGAATAGGAATGTGCCTTAGCCACTGTTCTGGACTAGCCTTGTTACTATCCCCCAAAATGCTACTCACCTGCAAAATATATGAATTGCCTGCATTTTACTAAAAACAGAAAAAGCTAGTAAAATAAATTCATAGGCAATAAGTACAGGGGGGCTTTTGAGGAAGAAACAAAGGGCTCTGTTTCATCTTTGCCAGCTTACCCATCTTTCATACTGGACATGGAGAAAGTGAAGCCTCTTTAAAGTCATTATGCATGCCAAGTGGCCTGGTGAAAGCAGGATGTGATAAAGTTTGCTTCATCAGCCCACCCACTTGCCTAGAGGGAATTCTGTGTGCTTGCCTGCATGGGATCCTGGATGAGTGAACTACTCCACGCCTATATGGTACTGAAATAAAACAGGCACATTTATAATATCATTTTTAGCTTTTAATCAGCTGAAGTCTAGCAGAGCTATTCAACTAGCATTGAAAGTAAGCACACAAATTTCATTAGTTTGCAAAACAAATCACCCATCCACCTGGGAAAAGCAGAAGAGGGATGAAGAGCGAGGTTAACATCAGCAACTGGAAAATTTGGCAACTTTTTTTTAACCCAAGTACTGCTGGGTGGCTGAATTTCTTGGAATGCACCCACATAGCATCACTCTAGCAAACTGTAGAAAATTAAAATTGTGTCCTTCTCTAGCCTTGCTCTGCTGCTGCCTATCATTGCTTCTATGTAAGCCCACCAGGGGCCATGGAAACAGCACCTAGCAGCATCAGTAAGTATTTCGCCAGGGCTCCCTCAAACCTAGAGATAGCACTGTGGAGACCTCTGCCCTTCCTGCAGCAATCTGCTGCATTTCTGAGTGGGCAGGGGAATGCTTTCTTCCTCTTGACAGTTTGCTTGGTTTCTATGCTAGGTACAGAAGAGGGGCAGAGTACTCTTCTCTCCTAGCCTGGTCAATCATCTGCACAGAATCCCTGATTACCTATGACTACCAGGCTAGTGCTTAAATACAAGGCCATGAAGGAACAACTATTTTATGTATTTCTCTGCTTTAGGCACATCATGTCTTCCATTAAGTAGAAGGGTAGCAATACATATATTAGGCTTGCAAATAGCTGTTTGTAAACAGCCATCTACCTCCCTTCATATGGTAATTAAAGCCATCTCTGAGTGATCAACAAAGATGAATCTTGTAGAACTGGGACAATCTCTGGACAAACCAAATCTGAATTTCTGATTTCTCACCCATCCAGTTATAGGATCAACTGACATGGCTCAGGGTTCACAGAGAAACACTATGTTTAAAGCACTGTTTCCTATTATCTGAAATGTAACAAAATACATAAAGAGGAAACCCCCATCTTAGTATACCCCTTCACAGCTTGAAACCTGGCTACGATATAGTTACTGGCTGGGACTCAGAAGATCTGGATTTTAGTTCCTACTTGGCCACAATGCTCACTGCATGACTTTAGGCCGATCACTCACTCTCAGTCTAACCTACTTCACAAGGCTGTAAGGAGGATAAAATGGAGAGGAGGTACAGGTAAGCTGCCTTGGGTTCCTTTCAATAGGGAAAAAGGATATGATATAAACAAACAGAAGCAGATAACACTTATCAGAAAAAGAGTCCATATTTCCTTTCTTAAGAAATAATTCATATCCAACAAGCAAATATACGTTGGATATCAAGGCCGTGTAGCACTGTAACAACAGATTCTTTTCATAACTGAAATCTGCAGCATCTTCCTTTTATCCATTCAGTAAAGTTATTCAACCTGTTGGGCAAACAGGCAAGGATGTGTCACTAACACTTCCCATTCTAACTAAAGGTAACCAATGTGATCTTCTTTTACTCAGCCAGCTGAGAACCACAGAAGTATTAAGACTGAAAGTGCTTCAAAGAAGATCCAATTAGTAGCAGTGGATAAATATGAGTTTTTAAATGGTCCAGACACTTCAATAGGTGCAGAATATTGCTGCCAGGTTGCTGGCGGGGACTGGGCGTTGTTCTCATATAACCCCAGTTCTCCGTCAGCTTCACTGGCTCCCTGTTGAAGTCCGGGCCCAATTCAAGGTGTTGGTTATGACCTATAAAGCCCTTAACAGCTTGGGACCTGGGTATCTAAAGGAACGTCTGCGTCCATATATGCCCGCCCGCCCGCCCCCTACGATCGGTAGCGGATGCCCTTCTTCGGGAACCCTCCGTGAAGGATATTAGGAGGGTGAGTACCCGGGGGAGGGCCTTTTCTGCGGTGGCGCCCCACCTATGGAATGTGCTCCACAGAGAGGTCTGCCTGGCGCCGTCATTATTCGCTTTTCGGTGCCAGGCGAAGACCTTTTTATTTAAAAGTTATTTTAACTGTTAATTTATTATTATTATATTTATAGATTTTAATATATAGCCAAGATGGTACCAGTTTTTAAATTATTGATTGTATTTTTATGTATGTTGTGAGCCGCCCCAAGGCTTTGTTGCAATGGGGGCGGTGTAGAAATGTTTTAAATAAATAAATAATATTTTGCCATTCAAGGTACCTTGAAAAAAATGACAACTTCTAAATACTATCACCAAACAGCACCCTGGGATTTGCCCAACTCTGGTAAGATACACAACAGCCTTCTTCAACCTGTCACCCTCTAGATAAATTGGGACTACAGCTCCCATCAGCCCACAGTTAGTTTAAAAGTGCTGTCAAGTGCACAGAAAGACACTTTCAAACTCTCACAGCCACCCATTTGATGCATAATTTTCAATTCACAAATAAAAATTGCTCTTCTGGTTCCTCTCCTATACTGAGATTTCACATCATCTTGGCTAGACTGCCTTTAGATATGATATCTCTCAACAATGATAACTCAGTTTGTGTAGCTGTTCAACTTTTCCCACCCAATCAGTATTGCGCAGGTCACTTTATATTTTAAGCAGATTGCAAGCCATGAGGATCTTACTCAGAAGGGTGGAAAATAATCTAACTTTCTATGAATTGTGTTCCTGATTTACCAAGGATTTTAAAGCTTCCTGTAAAACAAGTGGGAGGATCATGAGGAAACATCCCCAGCCAAGCCACCTGCAGTTGGGGAGGCTTTGAATTCAGTTTCTTCCTGAATTACCAAGACACAGTTTAGTAAGGTGTGAAAGCCCTGGCTGTAGATGCATTTATACCATATTAAACTGAAAGGCAAGATTTAACAGGTCAAAGCTCAACTATCCAATTGCAGCCAGTAAGCAGAGTCTAGTCTGAACAAAAAAAAAAAAAAAAATTACTGCATCACATTATTCACTGGCTTGAAACTGCTTCAAATGTCTTGGCTATCTTTTTAAAGGAAAAAGATATTAATCAAGTTTTTTAAATGCTACTTTTATTTTGAAGTGAATACACTTTCATCTCTCATAAGCTTCAATTGGTTAGCAACTCACATTCCCATGTGAACAAGTAATTAAGAAGTGCATAGTGTAACGTTACCATTGGCATACAGGAAATGTTTGTGCTTTAATCCTTCAAGTTACAAGGCAAAGAAGTGATGCAGCATGGTAAGTTTGAGAATGGCCCCCCAGAGGCTATTCAAATCTCACCTCTACAAGACTATTTCCCATCAACCTCAGTGCACTCTCTACTATTCGGGGTGGGCCTACAGGACTGTTGGTACTGAGATCACATATGCAGCATTTGGAACTTTCCAAATGAGCTATCTGAATGCTAAGCAATAGTATAAAAACAGTAACTTGGATCCAGAATCTTCATCCTGCCAGGGAACACACCAGTTGCTTAATGGAACTTGTGCTGCCTCCTCCTATGGATATCTGAAGCAGATCTGGAGGGTACATGGGACTGCAGGAAAGGAGAAGAGATGAAACACAAGTCCTACCCTGCAAACAATACTCTTCTGGTAGAATTCAAGTTCTGAATTCAAACTAGTGTGCAAACTTCTAACTACCACAGATGTCACTGAAATGAAAGCACTTCCAATCAAATAAGTTGAGCCAATGCAAGCAGTGCAAAACCCGTATCATTTTTATATAATACCTTTCATTCCCAAACGGTTACCAAGCCAGTTATACATGTTCTCTCTGTAAACAGAGAACTTTTAGCTCCACATTCATCCTGCAATACCTCAACTAATCCTTTTCTTTCTTTCAGAGGGAGCATGGGAAGAACAAATGAGTTGCCTTAGTTGACAATCATGAACTACCTGTCCCCAGTATCCTGAGATAAACCACTGATCAACTAATGATACAAAATTTCAATACAGTACAGTTGATACAAAGCATACTGTTTGCTGTTAACAGTTCTCAGAAAAGAAAAACAAGAATAATCAAGACTTCATATGCTCTTTGAAAACAGCTGAAGTTCACACAGAGCTTGCAAGGGTGGGATCAATTTTAACATCTTTCACACGGGACACCACCTTTTCTAGTCAAGTTGCTTGCAGAGCAGCCTTTTTTCTTCTTTCTTTTCTTCTACATTCTGTTGTCATTCTGCACTCAGAAATTCAAAAACAAAATTCTCTTGGACCTCTCTACATTAAATTCCTTATCCAAGTGTACACACAAAGATCCAGGGTCAGGCTCAGAGGCTGGCACAAGTGGCCAGCTGCTGAGGCCACCAAACCTTGAGAGATCTCTACATTCCCTGACTGCTGCTCTGCATGGACAGTGAGTTATCAGACCCTCCTCTGTTCTGTGCTACTGCAACATGCAGCTAAATCAGTATCTTCTCCCTCCTACTTCTCGAGTAGGCAAGTGAACAGCATTTCAAGCCATTTCCTCCTCTGGTTTGCCTGCTCTCTACCTTTGGGTGGCAGTGATGAATAGGCATGGCACTGTCTCCTAGAGAGAACAGGGAAGTGAGCAGGTATGACTGCTCCACAGGTGAACAACCAATTACAGCAAAGGGGAGATATGCTCCACTCTCTCACTATTACCCTCTAGCTTCACAGCATATAGAATGAGCCTTCCAACTGCTATACTGACTAAAGACTGAACAGACTTGTCAGCAGCTGCTCTTTCTAGTCACCTTCACTGTTTGGTTGCCAAGTCTACTCACTGAGTGGTGCAGGGGAGCCCAACCCAACCATCACATTCCTCAGAAAGAGCATATCTCTGTAGCACCTCTACTGTCCACATTGGTAGGCGAGCAGCAGGACTGGCTGCAAAGAACAGCAACAGCTCTCTTCTGTGTTTGCAAGGGTCCACCAATGCAGACTCCTGAATAGTTGCTATCAAGAAACAGCAGCTACCACTATTAGTGGGGCAGCATTCTATTTTGTGCAGGGTTGGCAGCTTCAGCAGCGGCAAGACTGCTCCCCTCCTGCCCAAAGCAGACAAACAGATTCTATTTCAAAAGTAACAGCTACCACCAGCCACTCACTTGCCCTTCTTCCCTGGGCTGTACAGGGGATCATGGCCATTATGACCCAGAGGAAAAAAGCATACAAGCAGAATCAGCTATTTCTAACAGTGGCCAAGAGCAGCCGTTGCTACTTACTCACCTGCTCCCAGCAGGCAGTGCTGGCCGTGGGCCACATCCCATGGGCCGCACTGCCCAGAAAGAAAGCACACAGGGAGTATCACCTGCTTCTTACTATCACATCTGCTGCTGGGGGACCCTTGGGGGCAACTGAACAAGCACGTTTTGCTCTGTTCACTTAGCCTCTCCTCTTGTGCAGCAAAGATGGAAGCACTGGGCCCACAGAGGAGGTGATGAGGCAGGATCAATAGCAGGGCATGTTGGAAAGGATACTCCGAAGTCTGAAACTGGCCCTGCAGAGACTACCCAAATCACATCAAGCTACTTATGTAACAGCCTCCCCATATAAGTCATGTTCCCCATTCTGCTAGGACATCACTTCAAGAAAGTATCTTCATCAGTCTCCCAACCTCTGAAGAGACCACAAATATAGCAGATCACCCACACTACTCAGCTCTCCATGAAGTTGCAAATTTCCTCATTATACCTATACCAACCGTAACCCACATTAGCCCTTTTTTCAATAGCCTCCTCCCTTTCATGCTCACTCTACACACGCACGCGCCTCAGAACTCAGCACATGCCTCCCGACCCACGTCCCTTTCCCACCCACGCCCATCACCCAGGCTTCTGGGCGCATGCCCCTCCCCCTCCCGGCCACCGCCCGGGCCCCCTTCCCAGAGGTTCCTCGCAGCCCCCTAAGTCCCGCCCATTCCCAAGAGAAGGGAAGGGTCTCATTCCAACTTTGCAACTTGATTGGCTGCACCGCTCGCCACTCGCAGCCGACGGCCGCGCCAATTGGCGCAGCTCAACTGCCAATCACAACGAGGCGGAACTCACTGTGCTAGTCTTGGAGGAGTTTGGGTTTTCTTGAGGGGAGGAGAAGGGGAGAGCGGGTGAGAGGAACAGAAGCAACGGCCAAACTCACCTCAGGACCGGAGAATGGAGGGAGTGAAAGTACGAAACTGGGGTTTCCCCCCTCCCTGAGCGTCCCGTGCCCCTCCGCCTCGCGCCGTCACTAACGGGGCTCTCCCCACTCTCGAGCCGCGGCCCCCAACTCTTGCTGTGGTGTAGGGCTTCCCCCCTCCTCGCTTTCTGCGCGCTTGAGGCTGTCGCGAGATTTGGTGGAGAGGCGGGGATATAAAAGAGCTGAGCCAATGAGAGAGGGGGGTGGATTTATGCAAATGAGAGGGTGGGGCTGAGGCTTGGCGGAGTCGCGTTAGATCCCGCAACTTTTTTCCTCCTCTTCCCACTGTGCGCGCGCGCGCGCGAGGAAACTTTGATGGAACTCAAAGCTGTGCTACGCTACGTGATCGTTCCTCAGCCTGGTGCCCTGCAGATGTGTGCGGCTTGGAGACTCACGCATCTGCAGGACACTAGGTTGAGGAAGCCCTCTGTATAGCCATGCTACAGGTTATTCCCGTAAAGCTCATCTGGTAAAAAGGGCAGATCCCAGCACATCTTACGTAGCCATAAAGAAATTAGGGGCAGCGTCCTCCACCCCAGCTGATCCAAGAATGCCTTGCTCATATTGCACCGTACTTAGCTAGGTGTCGAGTGCAAATCTCTTCATAGAGTCCGTACCGACTCAGAATATTAACAACATCCACGCACGCCTCGAGCTTAAGCTAGCACCGCTTAGAATTCTACCAGGTTCTGCTGTAATGCATGGATGACACAACATGAAAGGTTTGGATGCTGGCTGTTCCAACAAGCAGCAATCAAAATCATACGCAGAAAGAAGAGTCTCCGGCTGCCTTTTTCTTTCCTTTTTTTCAAAAAAATCTCTCCTTGTTAAGGTGAGTGTCAGCATAATCAGGCAACTGTCCACGATCCAGATTGCTGAGCCCTTCACCAAACTCCTGACAGACCCAAACAGCCAATAGCTGCCTATGTCTCTGGTTACCATCCACTACCCACTTGGCTGTATAGGTGTGTGTGATGTGCTGCAGGTAATCTACCTGCCACTGGGCAGTGATAATCGCCTGCATCCAGGGAGCAGACCCCCTGCCCCTGCAAAAGGCAGAAACTCAAGCAGCAGTTGGATCTCCTGCAACCATTCATTTACTCATTTGTCTCAATGAGGGGTGAGCGAATGAAGCAAGCAGCTCCTCTCTGCTTCTTTGGCAAAGGAAAAGGGGAAGTCTGTCCCTGGCATGCGTTAGCTGAGGAAGGAAGAAATGGGGGAGCCCCGTCCATCTACCCACTGACGTGTGCATAAATCGCCTGTAACGTGGGTGACTTCTCATCTACCAGAGGAGTAAAAGGAAGTTGCAACAGAACAAGCAGCAAAGACTGCAAGGAACTGCTTGCCAATGCCAAGAGCACCAGGGCAGAAGAGCAGGCCGTGGTTGCTCCTAATCCCCATTGGCTACTTGTTTGTTCGGTGGCTTCGCTGGCTGTGCCACTACGAAGCGCTGTTGCTTGCTCAGTTTCCCATCTCCATTCAGCAGTAGTGGCATCTCCCAGCAGCTTCCACTGCTTTTTTCTTACTTGGTTGGCAACAAGCAGAATGAATAGAATGAGTGGTCCTACACATAGTGTGTTTCTGAGAGGACGTCTAAACTTGAAGCTGGTCTTGCTCCTTATTTTTCTTCTTAGCGGCTAATTTTCCTAGATTCTTCTCCTCCCAGCTCATTGAGAACATTAGCTATCAGGAAGAGAACAAAGGAGACATCAGCAGTGAACAGAGACATGCAACCAGAACCACCACCCCCTACAAGACATGGGTGGTTGGTTTACTTATTTATTAATAATTTTTATATGCTGCTTTTCCTTTGAAATCAATCCAGAAGTAGATAAAAAACCCTTTTTATTTTCCCACTATTTTAATGTTTAATTGTTTTTAACTGGGGTTTTAGTATATCAATTTTTGGATGCTGTGGTGTTTGTTTATTCTACTCATTTTTTGTATGACTTCTCGAGACATTCATAGTGGATGGGCTGGAAAAGCTTTTAATAAATAAATAAATAATAGCACAGACCAAAAAGACACAAAGACTGCACACACCCATAGCAGTATAAAGATAGTTCAAGGCTGGGTGGGGAGAACCAAAACAATAATCACTGCAAACAGAATCAGTGATTCTGTTTAAGCCTGAATCATATTTAAGCCTGACATGCAAGAGAGGAAAGATAATTCCACAGGATGGGTACCACCACCACAAAGGTCCTTCTTTGTGTTGCTGTCAAACAAAAATCCACAGGATTTTTGTTCTGCCTATGCAGAACACTCAACAAGCCTCATGGCAGGGCAACAGTCATACCAGTGGGACAGTAGCTGAGCCTGCAGACATGTGCAGTGGTCCTTATTCCACATGTTTCAATAACCAGTACACAATAAAGGAGAGGTAAGAAGGACTTCCAGATAGACCTGGCATAAATTTATTTACTTTATTAACAAACAAGGTTCCCAGACAAAACCTCCAGCATGTCACGGACAGATATAGAAAGATGTGTTTTGGTAACTAAATCATGAACCTCTGATGAACATCTGTGGTTAAATATAAGGTTATAAGTATATTGAATTTCCTGTGATTCCGCTTAACTGTAATTGGGTTTTAAAGTATGTGTTTTGCTTGCTGAAAAAGTTGGATTATTTTCTATATACTCATTATGTTGAAAACATGATTTAAAGCTCAATAAAAATAATATTAAAAAGCAAGCAGTCCTGCCTGAGTCTATTTCTGTTCTGACAGCAGGAAGCAACATAGCATAATGCTGTGCTGATTGGGGCTGCTAGGAATTGTCATCCAGCACATCTGGAGGGCACCAGGCTGGCTGCCCAAGATCAACACAGGTTCTCCTCCTCCACTTTTGACTGCAATTGTTTCTAATACTTTGAAGAAATAGCCTTCCTTTCCTTTCCTTTCCTTTCTCGTGGAAAGGCTGGCATCCTCACTGTTGTGCCAACATTCCTTCCCATTGGAACGTGTGACCAAATGCACAGAGAATTGAAAATGAATGCTGTTGGAAGCACATTACCTGCATTTTGATGTGCATTCCTGATCCTAATGCATTGCTTTCAGCGGGAGGTGCAGGCGAAATTGGCCCTGGGTTGTTGCTTTCCCTTGACACTCTTGCCCTTGCAAACAGTTCTTCACACTTTCACAAAAAGGTGAGATATATTTCTGAAAGGAGACAGTCATTTTGTGCAAAACAAAAATATACTTGAAATGACTTGGCCTACTATAATGCTAATCATTCCCCCTTTGCTGGTCAACTCAGGGATGATGGGGGATGTAATGCAGCAATTTGGAGTGTGCCAGGCTGGAATAGGTAACATTAAAAGATTGGCTTAAATCACAAGCAATGGGCCAAAACAGTGGCCTAAAACTGACTTGCAATGAATATAATAGACAGGAGTGCTGTTAGTCATGACTGACTTACTGCATTGGTTTTGATGGAAACTTTTCTAGGATATATTGGCTGGACACAGCTAAAATTAGCTATGGCTGTGTCAGATAGGAAAATTTGCACTGCTACCTTCTGCATGTCTACACAGCACCAAGTCCCATCAAGTTTCATGGTGCTTATTCCCATGCAAGTGCATATAAGCGCGCAGTCTCGATTGTCAGATTCCTGGACAGCTGGAGTGACTGTGCTCATTCCTGATCTGGATTTTCCTGACCTGTTACTGACTCTTCAACAAAGCCATGACTGCCAAATGGCAAATCACATCTTGGCTCTAGGACAGGGCTGCGCAACAGAAGAACAGAGCAAATTCAGCAACTGACTCAGAAAATTGTCTTCATCAACTTGCAGCCTGTAGTCTCGAAGGACTGCCTTTACAGCTCTGCCCAGAGTGATGTCGGAGGGGGAGGGCTATTATTACAGAGTTCTTCTCGATACAAAGCTACAAAGACTACCAAGCCCATCACAAAGGGGCCATGCTTGACATCAGGGGTGAGTAGAAAGTAGACTTCCAGATGTTTTGAACTTCAACTCCCAACATTCATCCCCAACCATCGGTTATGCCAGCTGGGGCATCTAGAAATTGTAGCTCAAGACATCTGGAGATTTACTTTCTGCTCACCCATGCTTGACACTAGCATCCTGTACATGTACACTCATCAGTAAATCTGACTGAGTTGAATGGAGCTTGTTGGCTACACCTGCTGTGGCCATTATATTTGTGGGCTCTCACTCACCAAACACCTCCCGTATCATCCTTTGCACAGTCCTTTCTGTTTGAACACCAGCGAGAAACAGTTATCCTCCATTTTTAGCTGTAGTTGATGCCTGCGATTTAAATAGTAAGATAATTTGCCTGCGAAATGAAAATAACCCATTTGTAACCAGAGGGTTGCTTTTAAATCTGATTAGAAACCTTAACAAGCAGGTGGAAGCAGTGGTGGTGGTGGCAAACTGGGCTCCACTAGGTCCTCCCTGGGCTGGATGAGACATTTTTGCTTTATCTGTGCTGAGACACAGAGTTCCATGTCCCTCCTCAGCTCAGAGAAAAGGACTCAGCTGATGCTGGGAGCAGCGGGCAAGTCCACAGCTTCCGTCCTAATCAGAAATGCAGGAGGTGGACTAAGTGACTCCACAAATGCTGGGAGAAACTGGTCTTTCCAGCACCTGGCAACTTGCACACCACCCCCAGGCCCCTTTCACCATTCCAGCTGGGGGACAAGAGGCACAAGGAAGATGCAGCTGCTCCTCCCAACTCCAGTGGGATGCTGTAGCCTTACATCAGTGGGATACTCTAGGGGAAGAATGCCAGAACATGTCGTGAGCAGAGCCAGCTGGAGCCGGGGGTCAGACTAGATGGCCCAGGAGACCCCTTCTGACTCGCTCAGTTTCTTTGTTTCCATGTCTGTGAGCTAGAGGGATCTGCATCCCTGGGCTAGAGTGTCTGAGCAGGACTGAGGAACCCCAGGTTCAACACCTCCCTTTCCTGCATGTTCAGATTATTTGTCTTGAAATGGATTGAAAAGCACGAATTGACTCATCCTGTTTCATTATTCTGACCTCCTGCTTAAACAATAAGTGTCGTGGAAACGTTTGGTTGGTTGTGGGGCTACTAAACCCAAGTATAATGAAGGCATACCCATCCTCCGTATACTGAGATATAATTATGATTTCCATGCATGT